ATTTCGCGAGATCTCAGATTTCAGTTCAGTGGTAGTGTAGTACTTATAAGACGATCGCAACTATTTTACATTTCAGTTATGTATGCGCATATATTTACTTGTGGATCACCCCTCGGATGTGTTTTGGTATATACATAAAAATGGATGTACATTAGACTGCTTCACCAAAAAAATTTGCGGGTTTCCGCCGGGATTACAAAATCTGTTGTATTTTAAGACTTCCACCAAAATATTTTTCGGAAAAATATTAAAATTTACGCGAGCTGGACTGGTTTGAAAATACCTCTAAAAATGGAGTTTTTCATGAATAAAAACACTTTCTTAAAGATTTTTTTGAAAAAAATCCCCTCAAATGACAAAATGGTTTAAGCTTAAAAAATCTACATAACAATATTTAAAAATCTTTTCAACGGGATCGTAATAATGAGATTTTTGATGCTGTTTCTTTAACCTTTTTCAGAGATTGATTTACGAAAAACTGAATAACTGGGCCAAAAATATTCTGGGTTAGACTTGTCGGGTCTCAGTACCCCATTTTTTTTTCCGAATACCAACACATCTTAATTCAACTTGGAATGACGCCCGTTCATCCTACCTTTTATCCTTTGAAGAAGTTTATTAGCAAAGAAATAAAACGAGAAAAAACCTTTCCAATGATACATCACAAGTCTAAATCGGAATAGTTTAAGTTCAGTTATGCAAGTTTTTCTTATACCAATATTTGAAAAAAGTTAAAAAACAGCATCAAAAATCCATTATTACGATTCCGTTGAAATTTTTTTTATATTTTTATGAAATTTTTTTTTAGCTTAACCGTTTTGTCATTTTATTTTTATAATTCCAATGGAAACACAGTACCGAGTTTTTTTTTTTTTTTTTGGGGGGGGGTTAGAGTATAATGTACATATATATATATTTAAGAGTTGGATATTCCATTAAAATTGGACGTGTATGATTTTCACTTCGTATTTTTGGCATTGCTATTGAGTTGTCTTTTTTGATTTTGTGCATTGTTTTCAAAGTTTTCTCTTGACTTTTATTTTGTCCATTACAGTTTTCTTATTTTCTCTTGCAATTGTTTTTATTACTGTCAGTCTGTCTGTCGGTTTTCTTTGTTTACGTCGCTTCTACGTCGTCATTCAATTTTATTTTTAGCTACATTTGTGCTAGTACGCATATCACACGCTTCCTTAATTAATTACATACATACATACATGTGCATATACCGTTTAGCGCAAAGTTTGCGCTTGCCTTGCTGCTTTGAGGTTATTGAATTGTTTTTTGTTTGCCTATATATAGTATAAATTTTAATAGTAGTATACATACTATATTTACAAACTACATAGGTAATAAAAAATGACAAACAGATGTATGGAAATATGTATGTACATTAGGGTGGTCCAAAATAAGCTAATTCGGAATTTATTGCTCTCACCCCCTAGGATTTTCTATATCGAAACAATCTACCCCTATTTTTTTATTTTGAAATCAACAATTGGGTATTGTTAATGAAAGTCTTTTGAAGATAAACAAAGTTTTCCGATCAAAAAGTATAGATTTTCAAGAATTCTATACCATTTCAACGATTGTTTTTTTCTTTCCTTACTATAAAATACATGGAAAACTTTGAGCGCTTTGAGCAACCTCTAAATATTTTTTGGATTTCAAAAAAAAAAAAACGGGAATAATTTTTTTCGGTATGGAACAATCATAGGCAGTAGGTGGCTGCCTTGTGGATACTCTGACAGCTGAGGTGTTGGTTTTATCTTGTGTTTCGATGATACTACTCAGAAATAACCAAGGGCAGCAGCAAATGTAAAGCCAGGAGTAAACAATTTTTCGCGTATATACAGTCTTGTGGGCTTAACAGGCAGAAAGTTATTCACCTTACCCTATCAGGGGTGGGGTGGTCAATTTTAAACTGCAGAGTCCTATGTGAGGATTCAGTCTCGCACCACAGACATCTTGAATTTCATATCGTAGGGTGTCTATCTGCATGCCGGGCACTCGTTTGGTACATCCGCATCTAATCTGCTGAGGTGCGAGTTTAGCTTGCCGCGGTAGGCACAGCGAAGTTGGGCTTTTATGATGCGAGTCTCCCGAGACAGACGAAGCTCTGTCTCGTCCACGTCAGGTCAACCACCTTGTTCCCAAAACGGCATTCACAGGTGGAGTATATGTCAATACTGATTCCCTGTGAATGCCACTCAGGGCCTGTCGGTAAGCTGACGGGTCCAGAGGTTGCTTTATGAACGTCTGGAATTCACCCGTCAGTTCGTATAGACGCCTTCTGACAAGGGTTCCGCTACAAGCAGGTGTCCGTTCGGGTGCCCACGTCTGTGACAGCCTACAAAGAATTGATTGCAGAGCATTGTGTTATGTTCCCTGGTGTTGTGGCGACATCAGAATGCATCCGGTGGCTGTTCGGAGTGCCGTATTTCGGCAGGTCTGTAGCTTCATCCACTGCGTCCTACTAGTACCCGGCAACCACACTGGCGCTGCATAGCTTAGAACTGGCCAGCCAATTGCCTAGTATGTTTTTAGCAAAGTTTCTTTGTTTTTGCCCAAGTTGCTGCCGGCTATCGACTTGAGGACCTTGTTGCAGCTCTTCATCCTATTGTATGCTCCGAGAAGGGGAGAATACTATCGAAGGTAACTCCGAGAAGTTTTGGGTTGTTCACCGTTGGAATTTGTACGCCATCGTGAATGTTCAGCTGTAGTTTGACCTCCTTCGTCCAGGTGGTAAAAATGATTGCCGAAGATTTCGTAGGGGATAGGGCTAGGCTCCTTGCATTAAATAGAATGAGTCAATTCCATTCTCGGACGCCATTATGGAGCAATCGTCTGCATATGAGCCAATGGAGACTCTCTGATGGTTGAGGGCGCTTTGAAATATAATAGTTAAACAATAGCGGGAAAAGGACACCCCCCTGAGGGACTACCTGGTTAATTTTTCTTAGCTTGCTACTTTGTTTCTAAAAATTACTGACGAATATCTCACTCACCACTTAGATAATTCGCTGACCACCGTTTGAGTCCCTGTGGAAGAGAGGAAGTCTCAATGTTTTTTAGTAGCGTGGAGTGGCTGACGGTATCCAACGCTACTAGGATTGTTCCCTCCCATGAGCAGTTTCAGTTTAGGCCTTGAGTTATCTGAGTGTTTATAGCGTTAAGTGCTGTTGTTGGGGTGGGAACTTTATATTTATATTTTTAACTTTTTAGAAACTGATATGATCAATTTTTGCTTTTTTAAATTAATTTTGTTTCCTATTTTTAATTTAAGTTTCTTTAAATTTTTAGTTTTTATTGTTTGTATGTACATAGATACATATGTATATAGGCATATGGCATAGGAGGATTGTAAGTGTAATTCTAAGCAAATTTGCCGAAGAAATCATGGGTATAAAATCAATTTGGAGTTTGCCAAATTGCGAAAATAGGTTTCTTATACTTAGCATTTTGCTGTAGTTCCGTAGAGAAATGCTTAAATTTTGAATAAAATGCTACGAAAAAAAAAATACGCCAAAGGGCGCAACAGTGAAAATTTTCAAATTTTCTTACGTGTTAATATAAAAAAAACGTACATTTTACTTATCCTTGAATTTTTTTTCATACAACTAAAATTCAATACAAACTACATGCATGCACACGTACATTAGAGTGGTTCAAAAATGCATGTGAAAAAGTAAACTCGGAATTTTAATGCTGTCACCTCTTAGGATTGTTCTATACCGAAAAAAATATACCCCTATTTAGGGAGTGCTCAAAGCGCTCAATGTTTACCATGTTTTTTATATGGGGAAAAAACCACTTTTCGTAGAAATAGTGTAGAATTCTTTAAAATGAATATTTTTCGATCGGAAAACTCTGTTTCTATTCAGGATATTCCCAATAATAACTGGGCCAAAGCTAATCCAATTTAGACTTATGAGGTATCAGTGAAAATGTATTTTCCTATTCTTTTTATTTTTCTCATTTAAACACTTCTTAAGACACTGCAGAAAAAAGCTAAGTAAAATGAACTTATTTTCGCAATTTGGCAAACTCCAAATTAAATTTATACCCATGGTTTCTTTGACAAATTTGCTTAGAATTACACGGAGAATCCTCCTATGCTATACGCCTATAGTCGAGAAAATCTCCCATGCCAATTGACCCGCTCTAATATATACATACATACACATTATGTATATATATCTGGCTTTAGTACAATGCACCATTCACTTTATTCTTTAAACCACAAAGATTTTTTTTGATGAGACTTAATAAGAATATTGACTTGCTAGTATCGAAACAATTTCTTTCACGTTTATTTGTCAAGAGGTCTTCAACGGCTCGGCGCTATTGAGTCATTCGCAATCGTATGCTGCGAATGCCGCATTATACTAAAGCCGGCCTACCGACATAAGCGAACACAGATATATACATAGTTTAATTTCATTTAATTTTAAGAAAACTTATTGCTAAACGAAAGAGAGAATAACGCTAGCAGATATTTCAATTAGTCTTTCGCAAGACTGTGGTTAGTTGAAAGACAGTTGACATTGAAAATTGCCCTGCAAACTTCTCTATGTACTTATGTATATATTTAACCTGATTTCGTATTATAAGTATTTATGGTTAATTATATTTATATTATATTATTTATTTATATTACTTAGATGCATTCGATCGTAAATCGGAGGGTGAATTATCTTTTTCGCGCCATTCAAGCTTTGAAGGTAGTTGCAGAACCCTTTGCGTATTCGTTGAATTGTCCTTTCCATATCTAAAAAATACAAATATACATACATAAATACCCTGAGGTTTTTCCTAGAACAATACAAAACCATACATACATATAATTAATGGATTAAAAAATATATATGCCTATCCAGTGATCATTACCCTCCTTCAATCTTTTTACAAACATATTTTTGTTTTTATGTTTTTTGGTTTTTATCCATTATATATGCACATACATACATACCAATTCGTTTTCATTATATCATTTCGTTCAGATGACGAATCTTCACATGGCGTGCACATCACCAAGATGGGCAACGAAGATGTTCATCTTCACGTACAGCACGATCACGGCACTGGAGGTCATTGGTGCGCAAAGATATTCTTCTTTTCGCTGCTAGCCATTTTATTTGGCCTTGTGGGTTTGATTATATTGGAAAATCGCGGTATATCTGATTGTGAGTATTCAATGAACTGTACTTACTTTTTTTCGTAATGATAAATCTACGTACTCGAACATACATATCTACATACATTAACGATTTTGCCTTTGCTTTGCTTTTGGTTACAGTGGATACACCATTGTCAGAGTCACGTTTCTCCAATTATTTCGATGGCTGGGTAGATGAGAGTCGTCAAGACCATGATGATCATGATCCCGTACAGGCGTCGATAGAAAAGCATGAAGAGCACGATGAACCATTCGAAGAAGAGGAAGATCACTCAGAATTGGATGAGGAGGCAGATGAAGAGCACGATGAAGATGAAGCTCACGATGGCGATCATGACGAAGAAGATGAAAATGCCACAACAGAACAAACAAAGGAGCTGGAAGAAGATGAGGACAATGATGAAGAAGATGGAGAGAACGAGGATGACGACGAAGCAGACGATGAAGATGCTACCAAAGAGGCTACGTTGGAGCGAACGAATGAAGAAGATGATGATGATGATGAGAATGATAATGATAATGATAATAATAAAGAAGAAGAGGATGATGACGATGATGATGATGATAAGGCAACACAAGAGGCCACCACAAAAGAAGAAGAAGAAGATGAAGCTGATGCTGAAGGAGATAATAATGAAGAAGAAGAAGATGATGAGGAACAGAATAACACAAATGAACAAACTGCTGAAGCTAGTCAGGAGGCGAATGAAGCTGATGATAATGATGATGATGAAAATGCCAGCAATGTGAACGATGTGAATGATGAAAATGACGACGAAGACGACGACGACGACGACGACGAAGGCGATGATGATATTGAACCAATTTATGAACGCTCAGCACAACAACAAACAAAAAGTGAACGATCGCAAGCCAACAACGCTAACGATAATGATGATGATGATGATGATTATGAGGTTGTTAAATTGCATGCAATTGCATTTGCTTTAGCGTTTAAATAATTTGCTAATTTCGCCTCTTTATTGCAGGAAGATGATGATGATGATGATACATTTAATTCTATAGAAAATGTAGTCGATAATGATGCCGAGGAGTTATTGCTGTTGCAAGAAAAGGCGCGACAACAGGCAGCACAGGCGGCCAAAAGTGAACCGGCATCTGCAGAGAAAGTTGATAAGGAAGATGCAGCTGAAGCGGTGCCATCTTGGGCGTCTTCTCGTAAGTAAAATTTATTGAATACATGCATAGTAGTAAGGAGAGGGAAACCGAAAAGGAATGAAAATAGGCAGTCTACATACATATGTATGCATGAATCTGTAGTTTGGAAACAATCGTCTGTGATACATAAATATTTACTTACATTAAATGAATTAGTCTTCAATTGTACAACATTTATTTATATCTGTTAAAGCATCTGTTAAGAACATATGTACTTGTGTAAGTATGTATGTATGTGCATAATGTATGTAATTTTGTAGATAGTAGAATACAGGGGCATATTCATAGTAGAAATACAATAATGTTGATTCTAAATTTAGTTGTAGCTTTTTGACATACATACCTACATGTCGACACCTGAGTGGAAGATCGATTGAGAAACTTTTCAAGAACGCCCTACTTCAGAATTTGGTTGAAGAACGCGCTATTTCAGAATTTTAGTGAAAAGCACCCTATCTTCGTATTCGGTTTAAAAACGCCCCACGTCAAATGAAAATGTATTAAAAATGTGCTGAAATAGGGCATTTTTGAATCGGGAGCTGAGATGTGGCGTTCTTCAATCAAATTCTGAAATAGGGCGCTCTTCAATCAAATTCTGAAGTAGGTTGTTCTTGAAAGTTTTTCTGAGATAAGACGTTTTCGAACTGGCTGCCGAGATAGACCGATCTTCCATTGTGGTGTCGATATGTATGTACATTAAAATAAGCAAAATAGGCATGGCCGGTAAAATTGATATATGTCGCTAGGGAACCCTGAAGAAGCTTAACAATTTTGCTAAGGAGGTATTTCGATTTTTTTATTAGGTTAAATTTTTCCTTTTAATTTTTGTTGTATCTTAGTGATTTTCCATGGGGTCAAGACAATTTTATTTACACGAAAGTTCATTGACCTCACCCTAAAGTACCACCCTAATATCAGTAAATTAAAGCCCCCCAAAAATTGTTAAATCTTTGCTAAGAAAGTACATACTTCGATTATTCCGGTAGAACTTATTAAAAAAAAATTGTATTGCCAAACCAAAAAATTTTCGGCCAAAAACAAAAAAAAAAAAATATTTACACCCCTATTCTGCAACTCTTTCATATTCGGATTTTGCTACGAATCGTAAAAGTAGTATGCTGCAATCCGAATCGTATTTTCGAACTTTCGAAATTCGTAACAATGGCATGCCTAAAATCGAACGACAAAGGTTTTTTGCGTAATTTTGTACGAAAACAATTCTGTGTCGGAGGCGAAATAAAAGATGTAAATAGATGTGTGTTTGCAAGAAATATTGGTGGTGTTCATTTAAACAGATAAATTTCGCATATACGTATATTTTTATCCCCTGCTTTTTATAAACGAGCAAAAAAGAATATTTGTTGCCCCTAATCGAGAAACTTGGGTCCGGTTTAGTTATTTGTACAACGATTTTCGGTTGTTGTGTCCAAACGCATAACCCTAATCCAAAAACTTTAACATACACGAGTAATCAAAGGATTCACATTTTATATAAGATAAATGTTTCAAATATCCTACCACTAGCTTATTAATAAACTCGGTTTGCACTATGCACTTTTTTGCAAAGTTCGACGTGGGTTCTGCGCAAAAATACTTTGGACGGCGTAGCCGGAGTGATAAGCACAAGCAATGTTGTATACCTTTGACATGCGGAAGCCCCTCTTCCCCGCCACACAGAAAGGAGAATTCTACTTAGTAAGGGTTATAATCCCTAAGCGCGACCGAAGGCAGAAGCAAGCGCAACCGGTGGTGGACCTAACAAAGTGCATGTTTTCAATGGCTTGGAAGAAGCTGTTATTGCATTAACTGGATTGAGAACCAGAGTTTCAGGCATAGGAGGAGTTCTGGCTTGTGGTTCAACAATTCAACCAGAAGCTAACACAGATGCCCCCATGGTTACTATGCTCGACAGCTCCGCATACCTTTGTGAATCCATTGCCATAGCGCCCGCCCGCTTACTCTGCTGCTATAATTGCAAATACATCAGAATCCATAATTTTGCTCAAAATATGTAAAATTAACCAATTTTACAATAAACAAGCACATGATTAGTGTTTTTTAATTCCTTTCCACTTTGTTTTCCTTCATTCAGCTTTCTTCGAAAAACAACTGATAGCTGGCAATGCTGCTCATGTGTTTCCGCAAGGGTTGCAGCATGTGGATTTTTCGTTTTTCGCAGCGTAGCTACGAATTACGAATTACGAAAATTCGGGTTCTAGAATAAGGGGGTTAGAAATTGCCTTGCATAAATACCTTAGGCTCAGAGGGGTGTAGGGGATAGCTTTTTTCGTTTGCTTGTAAGGTGGTACGGTCTATTATAAATACATACATATGTATTCGCAATCAAAAATTCACCATATGATCTATAAAGTAAGTTTTTTTATGATAATGTACAAGAAAGTGCAAATATCCTTTATTTTCATACCATCCACTATTCACCACTGTCTTTGTGTCCATACTTGGTATTTACTTTTTCAATATCCTTTACTTATTTCTACAATAATCCTTAAGCTATTTTTTTTTAATATTAAGTATTAATGTATTATTAAAAATCAATTTGAGTCAAAATTACGACTTAAAATCGTTTCCTATATACTTATGTATGTGTGTATAATTTTGCAGTTGCGGTTAAAATTGGCGTCGGTGTGGCACTCGCGCTAGTTGCACGCCTTGTATTGATTAGGAAAAATCCAAATACAAGTGAGTTGAAAAGTTTCAAAAATGTGTCTTGTTTTTGTTTTTTTTTTATAAAGTAAAATTAATAAAATCAAGCTTACTAGTGCCGCTTTTTGCGTTTTACGTTAATCCAAATTTTGTGCCACTTAACCTAGAGCCAAAAATAAAGAAAAATTTAAACATTAATGTTTTCTTTAAAATTTCGGCTGTGCGTTTCAATTAGCAAAATTGGAAAAATTTATTTGAAATATTCATGTCAGCATGGCTTTTTTGATGTTGTAACAATTAATGATTAATTTTTTGGTTTAATAAAAAATAATAGTCACTCTTTTATTTTAACCCATCCTTATTTGCACTTTCTTTTAGGATTCTAAACAAATTATTTGTACAAAATTAAATATTTTATTTGTCAACGATTATGTTTGTTACTTATGTATGTAAATGTATTTATGTACTTTTTTTTTCTTTTTCACATTTTAGTTCTTGAAATGATTAAGATTTTATACGCATATTATATTTTGCGCCATTGTATGTATGCTGCAATATTGGCATTTTTTATTATTGCAAACTGTATTTATTACATAGTCTAACAAAGATTATCTGTGATTATTAACTAAATATGAATATATTTTTACTTCAATGAAAAAACGAAAAAAAAAACTAAAATCCTCAGCTGAGGAACCGGCACCAGAGTTGGTAATGAAACGACGCCTAACAATAGCAACAGCGGAAGATAAATATGCCGAGGATGAGGAACCGCCACCGCTGCCGGATGATGATGGTTAAACATACATACATACATTAATTTTTTCGTGCATGTTTTTAGATCTGTTGAAATGAAAAGAGGTTAACTTTCTTACTTGTTCTTTTTGGTTTTAGGAGTTGCTTCGTATTATTTCCGGGTTTTCGAAAGCTTTCTTGGGGCTTTTCGAAATACTTTTTTTTTTTTGTTTTTTGAGACTTTATGAAACTATTCGTATTTTCCGGGTCCAAATTTACTTTCAAGTTTCAGCCCGATAATTAGTTTAAAAAATGAATTATTTTAATTGCCTACTTGACTTAACCTCTTTTCATTACACTGTCACTTTGAACAAGCTGGTCTGAGGTGTTTCCTATAATTTCGTTAAAAACTGGATTTCTATTTACACAAAAAGGCGAATACTCTGAAGAAGAAATCGAAATAGAAGAGGAGTATGAATATGAAGAGGAAGTCGAAGACCCCGACGATGAATTATCCGGCTTGTCAGGCGAATATATACCCGAAAGTTTTGAGCAGTTGAACGATCTGTATCGCTCCCGATTAGCAGAGTCCGCGGACAGTGAGGGTAATTTAAACCCCCAGCGTTTTGAAGATGTAAGGGATCAACGTTTGAGTCAAAAGAAATCACCTGCTATATTGACTGCGCCAATGCGGCCATTATCAACAACTGCCGAGATGCCTTTCAAGAAGGTATCAACATTAACGACCACAACAACAACAGCACCACCCAAAACCACTGCAAGTGTAATGCATACACAATCACCAAAAACACCTGCACCAACAACAACAACAACAACTAGTACAATAAGAACAACTAAATTCGAATCAACTATAAAGCCAGTGCAAAGCTATATAGCAGCCCCAACAAAAACAACTATCAGTTCTTCGGCAGTACACTCGCCGAAAGCTACTACCAAACAATACATAACAGACTCACCGAAACCGCTGCGAAAGCACGAAATTACACATGATGTGGATTATCAGCCCGATGATGAGGACATTGATTATGATGATGATGATGATGATGATGGTGTTGATGGAGCAGCAGCATATGTACGCGAGGTATTAAAGCGCGAAAATGAGTGGGAGGATGAGGAGGAAGAAGAAGAAGAAGACGATGAGGAGGGCGAGGGCGAGGAAGACGAGGAAGATATCGATGACGATGAGGATATTTCTGATGTCGATGATACCGAATTAATGAATAGATTAGAAGCCAAGTATGGTCGCTTACCAGCAAAAGAATATGAAAGTGACGAAGATCCGGATGATCCGACTTGGACACGTAATTACTAATTACTGCTTGAATGGCTTTGTTAGCGACCAAATACTTATGTGTGTACATACATATGTATGTACATATGTAAATTATGAAAAATTAGAAATATGTTCATGCAAATACGTATGTACGTATAAATATGTATGTATGTACATATACCAACTCACTAAACGGCTACATTAGCATGCGAATTCTAATAACATTCGAAATAAATTTTTTTCTTATTAAATACTATTAAATAATTGGTTCACGAAAATTCGCTCAGCAACAAAACATTGCTTGTGACTACAGCAACATCATCATTATCATCATCAAAGCTAATTAATAGCCATCGGTTAGCAGTAAGAAATGAATGCAAAGAATTCTGTGCGAGTTAAGCGAATAAATAAGAGCACATACATACATACATGCAAACATACATTTATAATTACATAGTATTATACTAAAGTAATATTCATGTAACAATTTGACAATAGTAAGTGTTGCCGATTTAAGTTAATTACCTTACAGTAGGGCTGGGACTATTCGCATATTCGGAAATCCGAATAGTAGGTACGCATATCCGGCTAATCGGGTAATATTCGTTAATTTCATTATAGTATTTGTACGGTTTTGTTAAATTGTTCTCAAAAGTACTAAATATATCGAGTTGCAAAAAAAAAAAATAATAGCACACTTCATTGCAGAAACAACTCTTATTTTATTGTTAATTTTTAGTTTCGAATATCCAGATATCTTTGCGCTATTCGGATATGTGGATATTCGGATATTTGAATTATCCGGATATTAAAAAAATATTCGAATTATCCGGATAGTAAAATAATCCGGATAGAAATCCCAACCCTACCGTGTACTTTTTTTATATTTTACGGGCATATGCATTTATGTTAAGAACAAGATATGTAGTTTTTTAAATTATTAGATAGGAACTATTTATCAATAGTTTGCTTTTTATATAAAGTACATTTGAATGTTTCTTATTTTGCATAGAAGTTTATATTCTCATTTTCTCTATCTATGTAAATATGTTTAGAAATCAAACCAAAAGAAGCAGTAGGAGGTGGACCCCAAGCGCATAACGATGACTATGACTTATATGAGCGAGAATTGCGTAGAGCAAACGAAGAAATGTTGCGAGAGGTGAGTAAATTCGCTAACCGTAGTTCATTGAATGTCAAAACTACCTGAGTTTTAAGTTGATAATGAAAGCATAGTTTATTAGCGGTGATTCCCAAAGTGGTTCAGGTGGACCCCCAGGGATCAATGGGAGATTAGACGGGGGTTTGCGTGATGTAACAGCAGGGGGTCCACCGAAACCAGTAAAATTTTTAAAGTGCTCTGCGAGAAAAAAAGTTTGGCAAGTTCTGCTTTATACCATGAGTAGTTTTTGAAGACTTTATTTATGTCGGACTTACGATGGTATGCAGTTGATCTCTACCGACCTACCTGAGCTCCGTGCACAATTGTGGCTGATTCTTTCCTCTTCTATGATGAAATTGAAGTGTTGACAGTTCTTGTTCATGCATATGAACTTCCAACCTCTCTACAGACATACTATTTAGAATCAGATCTAAAACTTTCCTGCTACTGGAGTCTGGGTAATTTTCTTGTCAGTACCGTTACTTGTATACCCGTTGGAGTAGGAATTTCCATCACATCATAACCAGACGAGCCGACATTAACTACTGATCTTAAGCAAGACCCAGGTGTTCTCTACGATGCCCAGCCTTCTCGCACCCATGTCCAGTTAGAATCACTACTAGCCTCGAAACGTCAGGACTGGGTTTTATTAATAAGTTGTTTGTACTCTTAGCGTTGTACACGTGCCACATGAGTTGGGATATACGGCAGCTAGCCGCCGTGCGCCACCTTTGATCCGATTTCTGCAGTTTATCGAGAAAGATTTCAGTATATATAGCTCCAATTAGGGTGAGATCATTGTGGAACCCTCACTTGATCTCCCCTGCAGCCTCGTTTCCGGGATTGTTGGGATGGCCATTGACCCAAACGAAATCTAGATCGAGCTGACTACTTACTGCGTTTGATCAGTTTCGACCTTATGCACTGGGAAACGAGTTTTATTACGTAAAAGACACCAAGGCTTTACTGGCCGCCTGGTTATCCGGGAAAATGTCTACACGCTTGCCGTAACGTAAACAACTACGTTTTAAAAGACGACAGCCTATTCTTAATCCTAGGGATTCAGGAAAAATGCCTGCTCCAACTCCGCGTTCCATTTTGGAGCCTTCAGTGTACAGATGATAATATCCAGGCAGATGTATCAAGATCCCCTTCCCAGTCGGCTCTAGAGGGGAGAATGAGCCGCAAAGGCCTGTGAAATTCTACTTCAGGTGGTATGTAATCGGTAGACAGTCTCATCTTAAGTGGCAATGGGGAAATTATATAGATATGTCCGAACGTTTTTTCTTTCCACACGCCCAGTCTTATAGCAGATTATCTACGGTATGCATTATGCGAAGGTCTACGAGAAATAGGTTTGTCCATAGGGCAAGTTCTCATTACCTCTGTAGTCCGTATGTATGCGGCTTTCTGAACTCCGACAAAATTACACTAGGGTACCAGTGTCCAATATAATGAGCGCTGAATAACAGTAAAACTAACAGTTTTATAAAAATAAGCTGGTATAAACATGTTCCAATTTTTAAACTTTAACGATTGATTTTTAGTACTGAAGAGGTTAAATACTAAGATATTAGTTGCGTTTTTTTACTCATTTCCAGTAAAATCCAGTAAAAGTTTTTACGAATTTTCATGTTTTGGCGTTTTCGTACACAAAAACTTGCAAAGTAGGGGAAATTGAGAGAGCGGAAAATGACAGCTGAAGTTGCAAGTTTTTACTGGATTTTACTGGATAAATTTTTACTTGTAAGAATTTGCCAGTACGAAAAACAGCTGATCGCATGTTGCTGTATGAAATTTAAACTAATAAGGAAACTGTTTGTGGATTTTTATTGTGGAAATTTTCAAAACAAACATATTTAAATATAAAATATATCGTTTTATTGGGAATATGCTGCGAATAAACAACCAATTTATCAGCTGTTCATGAAACTTGCAAATTATTACTGGAAAAGCGTTCGCGTACTTTTTTGCAAATTTTTTCTATGAGAGCGAATTCTTAGAAATAAAGTTACTGGAGAGTTACTGGCAAGTTACTGGATAATTTGTAAAAAAACACAACTATTGTTTTAAATATGTTTTATATTATTTGTTGTAAAATTAGTTTTTTTTTGAAAATCTTGTATTTATATTTATTTAATTCTCCTTTCTTTTTCTTTAGTTCTCATATCAATGAAACAAATAATTAGTTGAAATAACTTCCCCAACTCCCTCTGCATAGCTTTAAACACGTTTTTTAAATTAATAATTGCTATCATTAAGATTTAAACAGAAAATACAATTTTTTTATAGTTCTTATTAAAATAAAATAAGAAAAACATACACAAGTAAAAAAAATAAATTTTAAAAATTTAATTTACTTTCTTACTAAACGAATTTGTCAAATTTTTATGAACAATCAAAATATTTTTTTTCCATTCAAATGTTAAAAAAAAAAAAATTACTTAATATTAACTAACTAACTGCTGCCTAGAATGATATGCTCTGTTATTTTTTAAGGAAAGTACTATCCAAAAGGAAATTGTTTTGCATTTTTGCTAACTTACAAAGTTAATCAATCAATCAGAGCGGAACGATATTTTTTATGTAGTACAATTGCATTAACAAATTAACTTGTTGCTTAACTGTGCCGGGCCAGCGGGCGCGCCCAGCACCCACTTAAGCAGCGCGCGCGCACGTCTGAGCCACAGGCAACCAATTAAGTAATGACTTTAATTGAAATTTATGCCACTGCACAATTGTGCGAGGCGCACTCGCTAACACATACATATACATACATATACTATATTTACTAATATGTAGCAGAGAACGGCACGAGTACACCGCAACCAAAAATATGTTGCATTTATACTTTTTACTTTTCATACTCGCGTACATATCAACAATTTTCGAAAAAAACGTGTTTTTGGTCGAAAATAGTGGCACGCTTATCTTAGGTAATGAATTATCTTCCGTTTCCGGTAGAGAACGAGATTCCATCGCAAAATTGTATTTAAATGAAAACTTAAAAAAGATATACTAAAAAAAGTAAAAATAACAACTCGTGCTCGTGCTCATATACCCGTAGTTGTATATGTAACGTATACGCTCCGTAGCACCATACACAGTCAGCTACCATGTTTATTCGCACGCCTTAACTTAATGGTCATATAATTTAAAAGTAATTAAACATTAGCGTGGAAGATTTTCACACAGTATTCCTTAAGCACATATATATTACTTTCTTCAAGTATATAACAACTTTGAAACGATTCGCGAGTGTGCCATAAAAATGGAATTTTAGTTTCTCAAATCATAGTCATCTTTTACTGAATGTAATTTTTTTCATTTGGTGGCACACTAGCTTTATTACACTAGATTCGTTCGTTTTGGTACGAACACCGTTTAATTTTAACATTAATTGTAAAAATTCAAAAATTATAAAAAAGCTGCGACAGATATTCTGCATGTTGCCGTTTTTTTTTTGAATTGGGTGGCACTCTCTTGAAACTTCACAGATATGTTGTATTTGATGCCAACGGCCTTTGCCTGCAATATGAAAATTATATTTGAAAACTTCCCAAAGTTATTAAAAAAAATATGATTTTTTCGAGAGACAATGAAAAAGTGAGTAACTTCGGTACTTTTTCGCCTATATAAACGCTTTAAGGCTAAAATGGTTCAAATACTTGAGTTGTTTTTTATTGTACTTATTTTTGGAACTCCATTGATTGGAATATATGCAAGAAAAATGCTATAGCGTTTTTTTCCCGGCGAGAGAAGAAAGTGACACTAAAAAAAAACAACTCGTGAGATTTGCTCGTATACGTTTATAGTATTTGCCGCATATAACAAAAAGGAATGTGCGATGAAAAGTAATCGACCATTAGAGTCACAGAAATAGGCACCCGTGCTGTTCTCTGATACATTTACATACATATATGCATACTGGCATACATACATACACATGTATGCAGAATTTTTCTCTTTATTTTCTGCATGGAATGTTCTTACTAATATTGCATTTTTTCTTATTATTGTTGTTGTTTAATGTTTATTCCCAATGCTGTTGTTTGCTGCTTTTAAATGTTCATATGATTAAATTTGCTACACGCCACCTGGTCACCTCTACATACATACATATTTAATACGACACACATCCAAACATCCACACCCCCTGCGACGGATCGAAATTCGACAGAATTATGCCGAAGCCGTTAAAGGATATGGCCAACTGGCGCAGCGGTACCCCGATAAACCACAAGCATTTCTCGGCCAAGCAAACGCGCTGGATAAACTGGCAGAGCTGCAGCGCAGTAATCATTTGCTGAGTGAAGCTTTACAGGCGTATAAGCGGTATTTAGCACTAGGCTCGGCCATCACCAACAATGCACAATTTCGCGCCGCGGCCGAGCGCTGCATCGAACGTATGCGCTTCATGGGTAAACGCGATTGGCTGTAGGATTTAAGACCTTGCGAGTAGTCTATTTTATTTTAATCGACTCTGCTATTTGCAGGCCATCATATGCAGGCTGTGCCAATACATCAGCAGCTGATTGAGCGCTTTGCCGATGAGCCAGATGTACGCAACCAACTGGCTATCACTTACCTGCTGCAGAATCGGTAAGTATATTGGCGATTGAGTGGCTTTTTCTATGTTCGATTTCCACACTAACCCAGCTACTGCATTTTCAGTTTATCCGACGCCAAGCTAGTTCTGCAAGAGGTGCTACGCCGCTGGCCACAGGATGGCTTTGCGCAGGTGCATTACGGTTTCGTGCTGCGACAGCTGGACAAAGACTATGAAAATGCGGTTATTTACTTGCGTGAAGGCATCAAATCGAATGCGAGCGGCACACAGGATGGTCGCTTCTACTTCAATCTCGGTGATTCATTGCAGCGTTTGGGTCGTCAAGCCGAAGCAGTTGAGGTGTATAAGCGCGGCGCCGCCCTAAAGCTCTTTCCCTCTGCCTATCAGCGTGCGCTATACAACGAACCCAATTTGCGTGCAAAACCTTTTTGGACCAAAGCGGAAACCACTTATGTGAGTTACCTCAATGAATTGGAGCTAAATTGGCGGGCGATACGTGATGAAGCGTTAAGCTTGCTGGGTAGGCGTGGCTATTTTATCGATGAAGCGGAAAGTTTGCGTGATACCGGCAATTGGCAGCAATTCGAATTGTATGCGCGCGGTCAGCGGCGCGTAGAGAATTGCCAGAAAGCGCCCATAACGTGTGGGCTGATTAAAAAATTTAGCGCGGCAGCCAGTTGTCGACGCGGTCAAGTTAAATTCAGTGTCATGCAACCGGGAACGCATGTGCATGCCCACTGTGGGCCTACGAATTGCCGATTGCGTGCTCACCTAGGGTTGGTTGTGCCGAGCGGGACGCGTTTGCGTGTGGCTGAGGAAGAGCGGTGAGTGTGCTTTATATTTCTTTTAAGATTTTCACATTTGTTAGCACGCTTCATGGCGACTGGTCTAGTGGCGGAAATCCGTCCTAAGGTCCCGACTATATCTATGGAAATGCGCGTAACCATCAACGCCAAGCTGCTTCCAAAGGTCACCGAATAAGAAACTTTAGGCGAAAGAAGTACGAAGTGTACTGGAATTTATGCAAATTAACTGCTGTAGAGAGTAAGCTGTCACCAATTGTGCGGTCGTATAGACGCCAGTGCGGTCTACTACTGAAACCTGGAGAGCTGTGGTAGAAGCATTGAGCTAATAGAGGACCTTCGACGCTTCATTCCACACCTCTGTAAACTCTCTGGGTTCAACTATCGTTGGTAATTTTGCGAAATCAAACACCCAAAACACGATAAATTAAATGGCGGTCGTATAAAGTTAGCGTTAGCTGATTTTTGGACAGAAAGATAAAATGATGTATTTTGGAACAAATTTCCATGATATCTTGTGAAATTCGGTCTGGAACATATCGGTTTTGGCGACAGAATGAAAAATGAAACTACAGATTTGACAACGCCGAAACCGGAACATGCTTCAATTAACCTTGCGAAGCTTCGTGTTCAGTTTAAAGAGCCCTAGCAAGTTCCGTGCTTTTTTTGTTTTTGTTTTTTGGCGGCGATACCCCAGTTTTCCAAATATTGTTTCCGAGACTTTCCTTGCACACTCGTCTACTTCCTTGATTGTATAAATTACCGATTTGTTGCGGAAGCTGGGTCCATTATTTATGTTCCCCAATTTAGGCGGCATGTTAATTGTATTGATCTTAACGTGAAAGGCACTTCAACAGTTAAAAAGTTATAGTTATAGCAGTAATATGCCCATTTGGGAAATGTTGGTGGAGGTTGGAATCTCCTAAACCGAATTCTAAGTAATTCTGTCTGTAAAGGTAAATCTTTTGGCCACAGCCAGTATACGTTCTACCCCGTCTCTAAAAGTTTAAGTACACAACTTCTCCATCAGTCGAGTAATATAGGACGTCCTACCCTTAGGGCGATGCTAGCTGCAGAGCATATCAAGTATATTTCGAGTATAAAAAAATAAATAAATATTTGGCCGTTAAACATTTGCTGGTGCTTGCCCGAGCTTCTCCTGCGATTTGTAGCATGCGCTTTGACGTTGTGAGGAGGGACCTACAGTTTCACGTCCCGTTAGCTAAAGCCTCTACATAACGAACTGTCGACTCAAGAGCCTCTTCATTATAGGTAGCAAATATTTGCATACGTGTGACTTTGTCACGGGTAACTGCCGTGACAACTTCCAAAAAGTCACCGCGACAAACAGTGACAAAGGAACAGTCACAATGATGTTTTTGTAGTAGAATTTCGCTTTCCAAAACAGCAGTAACGGTCACAGTCTCTGCTACGAACTGTGACTGTGAGAAAGTAGCGGTCGCATTTACTTATCAAGGAACTGCGACCACTGATGTTAACCATAAAGAAATTTTCTTATAATGACATGTTATTTAAGAAAAAAATCTGATTAATGTGGTTTGATATTAGAATTTCACACCATTAAGAACGAGTGTGAATGACCAAAACAAACGACGAAAATAGTCAGTGATGCCAAATAAATGGATAATGCCCTTAGTTCACTCGGTAAAAGATTTCAGTTTTGCAACTTTTTTTGTCACCGTGGCTGCAAAGTCAGTCACAAATAACGTTGTTCCTCAAAAGTCACGAGATCGCCCTTCTCTACTCTGCATAGCGAATTCTCAATATGTTGACTGTTAGAGTCCAGTGAAAAAAAAAAAACGGTAGTTATGCCGATTTTTATTCAAAAATGTTGTATTTTTCTTTGTATCCATAAATTAGGCCATGGAGCAGAAGTGGTCTAACCCACACTATTTTTTATTATTAACTTCTTAAAATAGTTTCAAATGTAGGTAATCAGTTTTAAAATAAAGGTCGCTTATTCCTTACTTTGATGTAACTTTGTACCTTAAAATTAAGGAATAAGCGACTGTTATTTTAAAATTTATCACATTTGAGGCTATGTATTTTAACTAGATAAATTCTAAACTGTCGAAATGTATTTGCTTGTGAAATCTTTTTTTATAAAAAAAAAAACGATAAAAAACAAGCTATTGGAACGTTCGCTTAAGTCAGCAGTCCAAACGTTAAATTTGGAATTTGCAAAGGGTGGATCGATGCTTCGGAAGCAAACAAATTTGCCGAGAGAGAAAGTCGCACCAATTTTTAACTTTCTTTTAAAATATTTTCTATGGCCTACTAAGTTATTTAAAAAAAAAATCGGACTATTTTTTACACTTTAAAGGATGTGTGCAGCTCTGAAGAAAAACGAAAAATTCCTATAAAATGACGCACAAGAAATGAAAAGGAAATTTTCTTCTATCAAAATTTCCTAAATCATTTGTCCAACCGCTCGAATTGCTTTATATCGAGGTTTTACTGTACTTATTTCAATGCTAATATTTTATTACGATAATACAAAATACATATGTATGTACATATATATATATATTTAATGCATTTTTACTAACAACGAATTTATTTTAACAATAATATTTACAGCACATGGATTGAAGGTGAATTTCTGATATTCGATGACAGTTTTGAGCACGAGGTATGGCATAACGGTAGCAGTTTCCGGCTTGTCTTGATCGTTGATGTTTGGCATCCAGATTTGAGCGTGCAGCAACGTCGAACGCTAACACCGATTTGATTGAAACATGAACATAGTCGTTCATACTGCATACATACTACATACATACATATGTAGATACTAGTTGATTATTGTATTGAGTTCCTGTTCGCATTACACGAAATACTACTTACGTACATAAATAATTAGCCACATGTTCAAACGAATAAATACATACATACCTATAAACGCATAATTTGTGTATTAAGCAATTGCTGTTTTGTTTAAACAAAAACCATAATCTGTAACAGCTTTGTTAACTTTAAGCTCAGCTTTCACGCCTAACAACATGCAAACAGCTCATTTTGTATACATAACTGTGTTTCGATTTCACTACTAAAACAAAGTATTTATTAATTTAATTATAAAATGAATTTAATTAGAAAATGTGGCTCAAAGGTATATTGTTAAGATTCGATGTAAGTATGTATGTAAGCAAACGTATGTAGCGCCATAAGAACAATTTAATTGGGATATGTGAAAACTATAAACCATCTGTTGATATTTGTGTTACTTAATGAAAAGAAGTGCAAGGGTTTATTGTATAAATTACAAATAAATAAGAATATATATATTTTTTTTTTTGATAAATACATTTAGTATTGTATGTAAATATGTATATGCAGATGTATGTATGTACATATATACTGTGAATAGCTGAAAATTGAAATGAATTTGTGTATGCAGCAAGCACATTTAAATAATTTAAAAAGAAAATGTATATCAAATGATTTGGTTTGGTAAAAAAAGACTAATTGGTTTATTGTATTTTTAAAACATAATAGCCTACACATCGTGCCCTAGCCAAATGAAAACGTAAGCGATTTTTTTTTTCAAAATTTTCTTTTTGATTTAGAAATGTATCTAGATGCTGTAGGAGGATTTCCGCGTTAATTATTTTTTTCATGATGAAATCATCAACGTGAAATTGTCGTTTCTTAATTAGTCATTGGATTTAAAACGAATAACTGAAGAAAGATTCATGATTGTACGATTATGTTCTGCAGTCAGCAGTCAATTACAACTTACTTTTCTACATACGTACACACATACATATCTACATACATATGCATTCAAAAGACACTCTGAACCAAGAAAATTTTACATGAAATGTTTTTTTTTTATTATTTTTATATGCTTGTTCATACAACATACATATGTATCTATATTTCTTGCACACATCTTTAAATTAGCTATAAGCTTAAATATTTATTTATTCAAACTTTATATAAAAGAATTTATTTAAAGTTAATGTTAATACCTATTAAAAATATTTAATTAAAACAAATGCCACTGTAAAAAGCTCAGAGAAAAGAAATGTGTTGTAAATACGAATTTTGGAATGAAGTAGCTTTCCTTTTTTACACCTGACAAAATGCTTGTTTTATTTATATTTAAATTGACTTCGTTACGATGTAAGTGGTATGGAGGCCAGCTCTATGGACGAAATCAAATACATATTATGAATTTACAAAACGAACCTAGCACATTTCTTATATACATTACAGTTGGGGAATGGCTCTATCTTTCCATTTACCTGATTGTATTTCAATTAGAATCGGCGGCCATTCAAGAAGCTTTTGATTGCCTAAAACTCGATGTTGTCGCTACTACCAAAATATAAGCATATACATTAGGAATGTTAATGCCGGGATTCCGGCCTTTTTTAGGTCCCGAAAATCCCGGTATTCTTGGCAAATAATCCCAGGATTTTCAGGATTTGTTATTTGCAGTGGTCGCAATAATAGAAACTCCTTTTCTTGCCCACTATTGACAATATCTTCCTTTTTTATTTAATAATTAATATTTTTTTTTTATAAATGTCTAGCTCATTATACATATGTATAACACCGTGCGATAGTAAATTTTACACACACATATCAATATATTCGCGAAACCATGGACCAATTATAGTAAATTGCGTTTTTAGTTTTTACTCTGACGTCAGTAATTCAAAAATAATTAAAAAAAATCCATTGAAATGTGCCTAGAGAAAAAGTATGGGTATCAAATTAAAGAGGAACTGGTAAGTATTTAAAATGACCTTTTGAAATTTTACCCTGTTTATAGTATATCGTCGTTTAAAGTACAGAACCGCGTATCAACAAAATGCAAAGCCGCGTATGTGATCAGGTGGCATAAATTATTTTCACACATATTTCAAAATGGTTCTCTTTTTTATAAAGCAATCGCATTTTTGGTTAGTATATTTATGTATATTAAGAGCTTGTATGAACAATCCAAGTTTTGGCAAAAAATTTCAGTTACGCGGTATTGCAGAGCGACGACGATATGCGGTTTTGTACTTTAAACGACGATATGCATGTCAGTAATTCAGCTCCTCCTACCGAACTAGTTGAATTAGGTAAACTATAGTTCAATAAGATGAACGAGCTAAGGCTAGGAAGAGCTAGTTCATATTAGGGATGTTCCATTGTCACAACTCTCGAACTTAACCTAAGCAAATATTTTCTTAAAGTCATCGAATAGCGCTGAGGCAGCAGAGCATTTGAATCCGAATAGAACAGTGGTTCAAAATTGGCATTTTGTATTCACAATTCACTGGAGCCTTAATTTTTCACTCAATTTGATACATTTTTTTAAATATATATACATATATAGCTTATAAAATTTGCAATTTGCAAGAGGTTAGTTGAGCCCGATTTTTGAATTTTTGTTTATTTGTATTAATTTTTGTTAGTGCAAAGTGCAGAAAAAGTAGAAATTTTGAAGAAAATCGATTCTCCTGTTCCAGTTGATAAAAAAAAAACTAGTTAAAAACAATTGTAGGGTTCCCTCCAAAAGCATCTGTTACAATTACTAGTCGTTACGATGCGTTTGGTTAGCATTCTGCATGCTAATAAGGTCATCCCTAAGTACATATTATAAAAAATAATTACTAAGTATAATAAACGTTTGTTGCACTTCATTCCACGCACGCAAGCCACTGGCAACAATTACCTACATACATACATACCTTCGGAAGTGTATAAAAGCATGTGTGAATATCGGTACGATCGATTATAAATGAATTCCCCATAAAGCGTGTTTATCAAAATGTACAATCGGCTTATTGTAATTTTAATATTTTATTTGAATTTTGCTTACACAAATGCAAACGCACCGGAAGTTTGCATCGACACACTGGGATGTATTGAGGGCATTTATCAACCAGGCAACGAAGTGGAAAAATATGAAGCCTTCTTGGGTGTGCCCTATGCCCAGCCGCCTATTGGGGAATTAAGATTTAAAGTAAGAAAAATACAGAGGCCTTCTACGAAATATAGAAGATTTATTTTATAAATGTGCTTATTTGTTACTGGTATATATGTAGAGCCCCGTTCCGATTGAGCCTTGGCACGACAAACTGCCAGCAAAAGAACCGCATACAGAATGTATTCAAAGGAATTACTTCGCAACTCCTATTTCTACGATGGGCGAAGAAGACTGTCTTTATTTGAATTTGTATCGTCCTGCGGTGAGTATTTTCTGAAAAATATTTCTTAAATAAACGCAAAGCGACAGCGCTCAGTTGTAGTAAATTTGCGTTTTTAGTATTTACTATTTTAAATTTTTTTAAAAAGACTTAAAAATTTCAGGTTCGAAATCTTATAATAATAAATTTATAAAAACACATACGTAGCACTTTTTTCCATATTGACTATTCCATATGACTAACACGGGGAAAAAATTGCTAAACAACAACAGCAAGTCCTAGCTAATTCCAAACTTACATATACATTTTACACCGTGCGACAAAAAAAAATAATAAAAAAAAACTATAAATCTTCTCACGCAACTGTGGGCTAAATATAGTAAAACTTTAATTTCTGACGTCAGAATTCTTTTTAAAATTTCTAAGTCCTTTAAAAAAATCCTGCCATCAGAGAGAAAAAATAAAAACGCAGTTTTACTATATATATTTGGCCCATGATTTCGCGAATATGTATATTGATTTTTTTGTGTGAAAAATTTAATGTAAGATGGCGCAGGAGTCGAGATATTTTGAAAAACTCTATTTATCGTCTGATTCGGTTCATATTTAAAACGTATACTACTTACAGGAATAGCTCCACTAAAATTTTGCCCGATAGGTGAGGCGTGGGTCGTTTTTTATATATTTTTTTTTACTAACCAAAGCTTGTCTTAATTTTTTTTAATTTCTTGATTCTATATTTAATTATTTTAAAAAAAGTGGCGGATAAAAATTTATTCATTGAAAATTCTCGAACGCTAACTGAAAAATGAAGAAGAGTGCTCAAAATTTTGCTACAATTATATTTTATGACGACGAAATTATAATGTGAGACTGAAAAAGTAGTTGTTTTATTTTATTTGACACGGCTTCACAAATGTGTGGACATTAGGAAGGTAAAAAAAAGAGTAAAGTAGGAATTTTAATGCTCCCACCCCCTAGTACTGTTTTATACCGAAAAAATTTTACCCCTGTTTTTTTTTATTTTGAAATCAAAAAATATTTAGACGTCGCCCAAGGCGCTTAAACAAGTTTAAAACAAAAACCAAGTTTTCGTAGAAATGATATTGGATTCTAAGAAGCAAAGGATTTTAACTGGAGCAAAGAGCAAAAAAAATTTAATTGCTCCTTAGCTCCTTAAAGAAAAATTAAATTCACTTGGATTTTTTTCTTTTGGATGTAGAAGTGCTCCTAGAGGATCTAGGAAAAATTAAAAAAAAAATTTCGCCTTTGATTTTTGGCGGTTACGGCGCGATGAAAAAAAAACTTTGCTCCGAAGCCTTGCATTTTTCATAAAAAAAATTCTTGCGCATTTTATTTTACCACTCATTCCTTTTTTATTTATCCATCGATTTTCTTCATTAGTAGCTTGCTTTTTTTTGTAAGAGACCAGGCTTTAACACAAAAAAAAAATAGTACACAGAAACAATTTTTTTTTAGTATTGTCCATGCTAAAGTTTGTTTTTTTTATTTTTTCTATCAAAAAACAAAAAATCTGGAATGATTACTTAATTTCTCAGAAACTATCTGGCCTATCGCAAATATGGAAACTCAGTTTTCAAACTCGGCACTGTAAACAAAGACAAGAAAGAAGAAAGATATTTAGACTCGAGGTAATACGTGGATTGTAGATACAGTTACTCAAACAAATGACCAGTTGAAATATTGATGAAAATTTGTTGATTTTTCCTAAATTTTGTACAAAGTTTGAAACTGTGAATTATTTGTATTTGGTTAAAGCTTAGTTGGTATTTTTATAGAAAAATAACAAAAAACTTTAGCTCGAAAAACACTATGAATATTAAAAAAAAATTAAAATGTGGCCATTTGTTTGAGTCACTGTATGTATAATTTCCAGCAGAGAGTCGATACTTGCCTACGTTATATTATTATATATTTACATACATACATACACACATACATACGTATACTTTAAGGCTATTGAGGGAGCCTCCTTTTTTGAAAATATTTTTAAATTTGGCTGTTCAGATTATAGATTTATTATAATTTTTCCTATCCTGCGTCATATGTCACTCGAATTTTGAAGAACTTTAGCTATGTACCTCACACATATGGCTTTTCGCAAGGACACATGGATTGAAAATAAATTTTTATTCACAGAAACGTTCTGCTGAAAATCTACCAGTTTTGTTTTATATACACGGCGGTGGATTTTTTTGTGGATCTCCGAATCCTCTATTTTTTGGTCCTGAATATTTTATGGATACGAACGAGGTCATATTGGTGATGCCTGCCTACCGCTTGGGTCCGTTCGGTAAGTATGTATTTCTGCAAATTGTATGCGGAATTTTAATGCTTCGTACTACAATAAAGGTTGCCACCTATTTCTCAATTTCAATTAAAAACTTGCCTAGGTTTCCTAAGTAGCGGTGATGAGCACATGACTGGCAATTTCGGATTAAAGGATCAAAATTTAGCTTTGAAATGGGTGCAATCGTACATATCCGCATTCGGTGGTGATCCTTCGCGTGTTACTATTTTTGGCCATAGTGCTGGCGGAGTATCGGCGCATTTACATATGCTAAGCTCCGCCTCAAAAGGTATGATTTTTTTTTTTTTTTTGCTTTAATGATAATAATTCTATGAGGCAATATTTATTCGGTGAATTCGAAGGCTTATTTCGCAATGTGGTGCCAATTAGTGGCGTTGCAAATACAGCATTTGCGGAACCGATCGACCCAAAGGCGCAAATTATTAAATTTTCCACAGCTGCAGGAATAACCAACGCTTCCAATATGCCTTCTATAGAACTTGTCGATACTTTGCGCAATTTACCAGCAGAACAATTGTTGCAAGCTTCCGATGCCTTGAAAACTTGGTACGTTTATCCTTTGACACATTTTCGACCCACCATTGAAGAGGCATCATGGCCGGAGCCATTTTTAACAACCAACGTGCGTGAATTACTCGATAAAGAGCCGCCCAAGACAGTGCCATGGATTTCGGGTGTTATGCCAGCCAAAGGTGAGGGTCTAATCGCAGTACTAAAACTCACTGGAGATCCAGCTTTGCAAGCTGAGTTCAACGGGAATTTCGATGAATTATTTAAGCAAGCAACAGATTTATCCGCTGTGGAACGTAACCCAGAAAAGGTCAACGATGTAGTAGAACGTTTAGTGGTAGAATATATGGGTGGAGTACGTATGTTGAATAACGAAACATTGGATGGTTTCTTAGAGGTAACGAAGTACAGTCAATTTGAAATGACATAGTTGGCAAAGTGTTTTTCTACGTTTAGCTTTTAGGTGATTTCAACTTTCATTATCCATTATACAAAGCAATTGTCAACAATGTGAAATCTAGTGACGAAACACAGTCCCCTACAGGGATAATCAAGTTCAGTTATCAGGGACCTTATACACATTCTACATTTTTTTCGGGCAATACGAAAGACTTTGGTGCGATACACGTTGATGATACCTTGTTTCTTTTTGGTATGCCACTAATAGCACCACTTGGATATTCAAAATCGTCGGCGGACGCTGAGTTGGTAAAGCGATATGTGGGTCTGTATGTGGAATTTGCCAAATTCGGGTGAGTACGTAAGAGCTTCTAATAACTATGTGTTAAGGGAAATTATTCGTAAGCATTAAACTGAGCCGAATACATACAAGGTGCAATGCAAAGATGTTCGTAGTGTAATAACTTGGCTTTCGTTTATGAGGCATACATACATATATATGTTTGTCAGATTAGGTTAACTTGGCCGATCAATAAGATCCCACCTTATCATCGTATCTTTGGATATTTTTATGACGCTTAGATTTAATATTTTTTGTACCAGCTTTTCCACTCTTATCCAAATTAGGGGCACCTCAGTGGCGTTCCTCTCTAGAGTAAGAAGGACATCGGCTAAAGAAATTTAACTTGTACACTAGGGTGTTCCTTAAAAATATCAATATCTACCCCTGTATTTTGTTCTGCGTACAAAATAACGGCGTATGCAAAAATTCAAAAATTAAGAAAAAATATTTAGAGGTCGCTACCAGAATTCGAAAAAATTAATTTTTTTTTTCAAAAATCGCATTAATTTGGCAAAGTTTTGACTTTGATCTGCTATATCTCAGCGAATTTATGATTGCCTATGTATAAGTTTCAAAAAGGAGTTAAATTTATTAGATTTCAAGTAAAATATTTTGTCGGACTATTGCAATGTAAAAAAAAAATTTTAATTTTTTCACAGCAAGTCTCTCCTAAGATAATATTGTCAAATCTGACAACTACCTTGAAAGCTCTTTTCCGTATTTCGAAAGACTAATTGAAAGATTTGCTAACAAGGTGGTCTTACCGTTATTCTGTTCATCTTTTAGTAAAAAGCTTCCAAAAAATTGAATTACAAATGTATTTATTTTTCTGCTTAAAACATTAAAAACTTTCGGTAATGGCGCGCTGGAAACATGAAGTTTTTCCCAGTGGCAAATCTGGCTAATGTTTCAAGCCCACACTAATACCGGATTTCCACTAAGCATTGGAATTAGAAAAAATGTATGCCTTTAAAAATTTGCCATGTGGAAATCAACTTAATGCCTTCTTTAACATAATGACACGATTATTTTTTAGTGCCCGACTTTGTCATTTGTCATTTTTGCCGTTTAATGCCTAGCGGAAATCCAGCATACGAAAAAATAACGTGAATATTTCAAGCAGTGTTATTTTTGGTTTTTTCATGTTAGCGAATTAGAAATTTTTGAACAGAAAAAGTATTTTTAAAACAATTTTTTTTTTTTTAACTTAAACATAAGTTTGTTTAATCGATCACAGAATGGAGTTGCTTAGAAATTTTCACCAATAAAAAATTTCCAAATTACGCCACTCTGCAGGTACCAAAAACCAATCTGTACGAATGTACCAATCGCGTGATTTGGCATTGAAAAGACACTCACATATTGTGACAAGCAGCTGAGTGCGCAGAGATGCTTGCTTCCATGTGTTGATGTCAGGAGTGTCCAGCTTCAAATCACATTTAGCGGAACATATAATTTTAATTTTTTTTAGATTTTTTTAATTTGGAAAAAGCGTCTGCGAAGTGCAGAGCGAAATCGTATTCAAACAAAATAATCTACAAAAATAAATCTGTCTAAAGTAAACAAAACGTCGTTTGGCGCAAAATCATTTATGTTTTAGCTTTAAACAAAGAGGATATGGTTCATTTTTTCTCAGTGTAGCAATATTTTTTTCCTTTTCCGTTGCATTACCTTGGTCAGTTTTTCGAAATAAAGTTGATAAAAACAGGATTCGTTACACTATGGCACCAAAGACTTTAGTTAATCTGGACTTCGGTATATGTATGGGGATGATTTGAGACGCTATACTTGAATTTCACAAAAGGATTTTGAAAGTTGTAGTTGTAGTTTTAGGTTTAAATTAATTTGTATGTATAATGACCACCTTTTTAACTCCCTATTTAACTCCCAACTGCTTTGACCGCTGCTCGTAGTGTGATGAAGGGTTTTGCCTATTTTACTCGGATTAACCATCCACATATTTATGTTTCTTTTCAGAAATGTTGAAGTCTTCCAAAAAATGCAGCCCTGCAGTAAGGATTCATTTGGAAAACAAGGTTTTTGTGATTATTTGTCCATCGTCAAGGAGACCGATCCATTTCAGGTCGACAACGCATGGAATACGGAACGCATGAAATTGTGGGATTATGTATACAAAACACTTTATTAAGATGTAAATATGTAATACAAATAAATATCTTATATACATTATATAATTAAGGGAATAATCATTATTTTTCAAATATAAACCAAAAAAATCAACAGGTTATAATCACGTATTTGTGCTCGTACGTCCTACTTGAATTTACAAGGATTTTTTATTTTTGGAGTTTAATCAATTAAGATTAAAAGCAATAATTAATATTTGAGTTTTATTTTTTCGCTCAAAGGAAATTATTATTACTTGATTTTTATTTTTTCGATCAAAGATAATAATTACACTGCCCAACAAAATTCTGTTGAGTAAAATATTGTAAAAACAATAAATGTATGCAATTTATCTGTCTGAGTGGGAGAATGTGAAAGCCCAAACACTGCGCTTTAATACTCAAAATGAAAAAAAAAAATTATGGTTAAACAGTTAACGGCCTTTATCTCAATTTTTTTACCACCATCGACGAAGCGGAAAGTTGGCGTGTTACCGGCGCGATTAGTGACAATTCGAGTCGTATGAGCGCGACTAACGGCGCATACAGAATTGCTAGAAAGCGAGTGTTAATTGAAAAATTTAAGTCATACAACCGGGAACGCATGTGCATGCCCACTGTGGGCCAAGGAATTGCTGATTGGGGACGCGAATGCGTATGGCTGAGGAAGTTCGGTAAGTGTGTTTCATACTTTTTTTTTTTGTTTTAAGATATTTGCAACTACATATTGGCACTCTTCATCCCATCTGAAAATCCGCGCTAATATTGTCTTGAGGCGAATTGTAATGCGTTACTCCATCGATACAAATAGTAAGCGATTACCAAAAACAGAAAAGTTTTTGGTGGGATAGGGTTTTCCAAAACATATCGCCATACCGAGAGGGTCATATCTAATACTATTTCATAACTTCCTCTTACCACCAGAAATCACAACTGATGGCCGATTTACTTGGCAATCGAGTCCCGCACCTGCCCTCAGAGAGCACGCTTCAACAAACTGATATATGCGAGCAGAGTGAAACCACATTTCCCGCTCCGAAAGAACAGCTGGTACGCTGGGAAATGCCACGAAGGCCAGAGAAAAGAGATGCCGCCTACAGAGCCACGCTACATTAGGGCGCAACGCGAGGTATGTAGGATCCACGATTGAGAGAATCTATCATTCTTGTGTAGGATCGATACAGGGAGCTAAAGAAAGAAGCAACAACAAAGCTGGTAGAGCTAAGCATGCGGTTTTATAGCCCATTTAATTTTAGCATAACAAAGTGCAAGAGTGAAGTTGCTAGAAAATCGCGTTGAATTTTGGCAATTTTTTCACGCAGGTTCTTTTTTATGTTTTTTGGTAGTATGAATTATATTTTTATAAAAAAATATCGAAAAAAAACTAGAATAAAAAGCTTTGCATATATTGCGAAAAAATCACTGTGCCAATACCTTTGTTCGCCACTGTATGTATATATCGCACGTTTAATAATATAGGGATGTAACTCAAAACCTAAGTTTTTGGAGTTGTCATCATTCAATTAATAAGCTTGTTGAGGAGAATTCCTTCAGCCTACCAGATGACTAAACTTCCCAAACATGGCAAAGATATATGAGTTTCCATCTGTCTTTTGGCATACCAACTATATGAATTGATCAAACTTTGATTGCGTTTCCCCACAAACTTCAAATTTTGAAATAATTCTGTATAGTATTAAACATGCGATATGTATTTATAATCAAATGACATCATTTCCTGATTTCGTATAAATCAAAACACATTTAACATTATTTTGGGTATTCATATAAATGCGTAAATGCCTCGTAACTGTGTAAACCTCGTAAATAAACCGGTTTTCCATACAAAATTAAACAATTTTACGAGCTTTACGTGGATATGAGGCTTTTATGCGTTTAGGTGAATTTACATATATATTATTTATTTACAAATAAAATTTACTTTGTGATGAATGATGGCACAATTTGTTTTATGTATGCAAAATTTGTAATGATTTCAAATTAGAAAAATGTTTTGTACACATAATCCCACAATTTCATGCGTTCCGTATTCCATGCGTTGTCAACTTGAAATGGTTCCGTATCATTAACGATGGACAAATAATCACAAAAACCTTGTTTTTCAAACAATGTCTTAGTGCAGGACTGTGTTTTATTGAAGACTTCAACATTTCTAAAAGAAAAAAACAAAAGTATTTTACTGTTATGTATTAAAAATATTAAGCTTTTAGTGGCAACAAAAACGACAACTACTAAGCAGCTGCTAGAGTAATTAAAATTACGGACAATATTCGCACTTTATTTCACAGGACATTTCTTTTCTAGGGAGATTTTCTGCAAAACTCATCTTTTTCTACGAGTGATACTCCGTTAATAAGTACTTCACTATAAGTTAAGTTAGGTTACGGTGACATTAGGAGAGCGTTCAATAATCTACGTACTCCCCGTTACTACCACTCTGGCTGCAGTCGCTAGACGAGAAACTCACAAGCTTTCCTTAATTCTTCTACACATATACAGAACCCATCCCTAGTGTACATACATACTATATACTGTCCGAATTTAGCAAACAGCGGGATGATTTTGAGATTTTTAGACATAGGTTTGCGAAAATTTAACAAATCCAAGCTCACCAAATAACACTTTATCATGTGACAATCGATAAACTCACCCGGTTTTGGCGAAGTCCACATAAATACCCACATAACGCTTTACTAGCGCTGCCTCTGGCGACGATTTGGAATATCCAAGCGGTGCTAATAGTTCCATACCAAAAAGAAATAAAGTGTCGTCATAGTGTACGGTACCAAAGTCTTTCGTGCTGCCCGAAAAAAATTCAGAGTACGAATAAGGACCATGATAATTGAACTGCATATATCCTGTTGGAATTTGCCCTCCATTAGTGGCTTCCACATTATCGGCAATTGTTTTATATGCAGGATAAATAAAGTTATCATCACCCAAAAGCTAAGGGGAAGTACTTAGTAAGTACATACATAAATATTTGTTCCAACAAAACCATTAAAAATATACTCTCATTAGCAACATACATATGTACATACCTCTAAGAAGCCATCCAGTGTGTCGTTATTCAACGAGTGAACTCCACCCATATATTCTGTCACTAAACGTTCTACAACATCGTTGACCTTCTCCGAGTTTTCTGTGGCAGGCAACTCCAATATCACCTTTAATAATTCATCAAAGTTTTCGTTGAACTCAGCTTGCAAAGACGAATTACCAGCAAGTCTTAGAGCTATGATCAGGCCTTCACCTTTCGTGGGTGCATTACCTGCAATCCATGGCACTGTCTTGGGTGGATCTTTATCGAGTAATTCACGCACGTTGGTGGTTAAAAATGGCTCTGGCCATGATTCCTCTTCAATGGTGAGTCGAAAATTTGCAAAAGGGTAAACATCCCAAGTTTTCAAGGCATCGGAAGCTAGTACCAATTGCTCTGCTTCTAAACTGCGTAGAGCATCGACAAGTTCTATGGAAGACATATTGGTAGCGTTGCTTATTCCTGCCGCTGTGGCAAATTTAATAGTTTGTGCCTTTTGGTCAATTGGTGCGATAAATTGTGTACCTCCAACCCCACTAATTGGAATCGCATTGCGAAACAAACCTTTGGATGGACCCAATATCTTGTTATTATTATTATTATTATCAGTAATGCAGCAACAAAAATCGTACCTTTTGAGGCGGAGCTTAGCATATGTAAATGGACTGATACACCGCCAACACTATGGCCGAAAATAGTAACACGCGTAGGATCACCACCGAATGCGGATATGTACGATTGCACCCATTTCAAAGCTAAATTTTGATCCTTTAATCCAAAATTGCCAGTCATGTGCTCATCACCGCTACTTAGGAAACCTAAAAAAGTTTTGTTTACACATGGAATACAGTTATTTTTTTTTTTTGCGAAACAACGTAAAACTAAGCTTATCTCCCTATCGATCGCTGAGTAAATAAACAATACTCAATACTCACCGAATGGACCCAAACGATAGGCAGGTATCACCAGTATGACCTCGCTCGTATCCATAAAATATTGAGGACCATTGAATGAAGGATTCGGATTGCCAAAAAAGAATCCACCGCCGTGTATAAAAAACAAGACGGGTAGTTTTTCATCAGAACGTTGCTGCAGGTAGAAAACTCTCATTAAAACAAGTAACCATATAATTGTTATAACATCGTGCGACAGCACGTCTCATACAAGCGAAAGTTCACATGTGTTGGACAGAAGAGCTTAATTTTAGTGCCTGTGTCTTCAGTTTTCTCGCTAACTCAATAGAACTTATTTAAGGATTTCTTTTACGACCTCGTCAGTATTTATTAGAGGATTTAAGAGTTATGTTAGAGTTCAACATTCTAAAATTTTAGAATAATTGTTTACAATCATGGCTCGTGAGAGCTACGTGAATGTCATTGCCATCCTAATTAGAGGTAGGTTTGAAAGCCCTAAGTATTTCTAACCTAAGAATTTGCCAGAACCATTCTTTCGGGGAGACAAAAATCACTTCTGTAAAGAAGTCAAATATCTGGGAGTCATCCTTGAGGACAGGTTCTCACAGAACCTACACCTGGATATTTAAAAGGCTAGGGCTTTGATCTGGATCTATCGGAAATTAATAGGGAAGAGCTGGGGCATTAGACTTAAGTTGACAAGATGGCTGTTCCATGGTTTAAGGTAATGGAAAAATGGATATTTTCAAGCTCAAGTTTGTAAATTTTTAAATTTAACGAACTTGTTTATTCAAATTATCGTCGGCAAAAAAATCTAACCACGTGCCACGATCATATGTTTTTCCTAATTGCAAATTCTTGCTGGCAAAATTTTTTCCAGTTTGAATTTGCTACTTGTCTTCAAGAACTAGTCTTTCTACTTGTGATTTATTTAAATAAAACATGTGAAATTTAGTTGAAACAGTTTAGCCGGTTTTAGCCGATTTTTTTGCCAATTTAGCCGGTTGGTCCAAAAAGTTCTGGCAACACTGATTACTATTCTGCTTTTAGTGGTTGCAGTTAAGTATTTAATTGAGCGAATTTAATGATTGAATTTTGTTAAAAAAAATTGAATTGTGTCATTTACGTTCGCTGGTCCTGCTGGACCAATTTTTAAACCAAAACAACAAGTCGTAAGGTATTTTCCTGTAGATGACGAGAGTTGTTGTGGTTTTTTGAATGTTTTTTTTTTCTTCATAGTCCCAAACGAACACGAATGTAATGGCGGATGCGAAGGCGAACACGTGTACATATTTAACGACTAGCAGCAATATGAAAGAGATTTCGAATACTAAGATGAAACTAACTAAAGGCGATTGTCGATTATGGGGAAGAATTCGATCACGAATGCGAAGGTAATTACGGAGACGAAGACGAAGGCGAACACGAATATGAAGACGAGTATTAGGACAAAGATGAATACGAATACGACCGCGAAAACAAATGTGAAGGACGACGACTACAACGAATCCAAACACGAGTGCGAAGACCAACCGAAGATGAATACGAAAACGAAGATTAATACGGATACGAATACGATGATTTATACGAATAGTTTTTCGAAAGTCACTCATAAAACTGTATCGCAAATAAATTGTTTAAAAACCCCTAGAAATACGGTCGAATTTTGATAGTAGCTGACACTCTTAGTTCTTATAAATTCACTATAAGTTTTCAAATTCTGGATACTAAATAACACTTGGAAGCTCTTTAACGAAATCATAAAAAGAAATAATATTTACTATATACTAGTACTACAATTAAGTTCTACTAAATATTCATGGGATGAACGATATTAAATTAAATTAAAAAAAAATACTCACCGCAGGACGATACACATTCAAATAAAGGCAGTCTTCTACGCCCGACGTGGTAAAGGGTGATGCGAAGTAATTCCTTTGTAAACATTCTGTATGCGGCTCTGTTGCTGAGAAGGTGCCGTTCCACGGCTCAACTGGTTGGGGATTCTATTACATAAGAATACATATTAACGAAACTATTTGCATACATTTGTAACTATTTTCCCATATTTTAAGGAATATTTCCGTGCTCTGTTTTTTTTTCTATACCTTAAAACGTAAGTCAGCGATCGGCGGCTTGGCATATGGCACACCATAGAAGGCCTCATATTTTTCTACCTCGTTGCCCGTTTTATAAATGCCCTCAATACATCCCAGCGAGTCGATGCAAACTTGCGGCGCGTCTGCTTGTGTATTAGCAAAATTTAAATAAAATACTAAAATTACAATAAGACGTTTACGCATTTTGAGAAGCACTCTTTGAAAAACCTCAGCTATAACTCGTCGTCGTGCCTCTACTCAGACAAGCTTTTATATCAGTTGGCAGAGGAATAAATGCTTTTTGAAATGAATAGCAATTAATTGTTAGGGTATTCACCTAAACAAGTAAAATTACGAAACGCATAAATTTACACTCTGTGCACGAACATATGTATCCCCCTTGAAATATGTATACATATTAGCGACACTTTATTCGAAGATTCTGTTAAACATATTATGCGTATAATTAAACAAAATGCTAGTTCTAAAGACAAAGCTAATCTTAAGCTGGATGTTATAATTCTATTTTGGTTTTGTGTGCCATTATGTGATCCAAGGTGGAATCCTGAGCTCTGTTAAGGGTGTAATTTTCAGACAGTCGCATAAATTTTAAATTTTACGTAGTAGGTACTTCCTCTTCATACTGTTTATTATGTAGTTTTAACCTTCGTTTAAGTTTACCCCTTTGCTTAAGCGTTCTGTTTTTCGTCGCTTCAATTTATGCTATTCGTGTACTTCCCATAAAATTTTACGATTGCTTTTCAAGGTCGTAAATTCACGTGAAATATGTAGCGTAGCTGTATAGGTAAAGGTGCGTACTAATACTTGGTAGTCCCAGATTCCATTCCTGATCTGAGTAGCATCCAAAAGTTTTTTTTTTGTTTGATATAGCGTTCGCCAATGGCCAAGCAAATACAAATCTACCAGTGTGGTTCTATCAAGAAAAAAGCATCTCATAAGAAACCACCTATCGTTCGAAGTCGGTGTTAATCTCAAATTCCATCAGTTTTATGTTTTAATTTCAAGACCCTAACAACAAATTAGGAAAAAAGCTCGGTTGGACACTAAACGCCAAATATTTATTTACTTTTTTATACCAAAGGCGAGAGTGAATTTTGAGTTTGAATTCAAATATTTGAAGAAAGTGGAAATGAGACAGCAAATATTTGCTTTTACTCGTGTTTAAGTTTTTATATAGTTGGATACCGAAAATATTTGCTTAACTATTAGGGTTGCCCTAATTTATCGATGGAAAAATTTGTGTTTTTTTTTCTAATTTATCAATTAACTTTTTTAGCATAAAAAGTGTCGCTGTAAAAATTTAGTCACTATATAAGTAGTAAATTATGATTAATGATGTCAACATCTTTATGGCCGAGACTCAGTAAGAGACGCTAAGAAAACCTGAATTAAGGGCTCTACCGGTATCAATACAGGGCGCCAATGATCCATAGATGGCGTATACCAACAAGCTTCCCACCACATTATATTTGTCAATGACTAGCTTTCCAGACAAGACGTCTCAAACATTTGGGATCCCACTTTTTGTTTGTTCGCAATAGCGGAAGTGAAAATATCGGAGCTCAGCTCAGCTACATCCGGGGTAGTAAGTGATTTAGCAGACACCATACTGACAATATGGAACAACAGCGGTTAGAAGCAGGACCGTCGAGAGAAAACTCGGACTTGGGTCTAAAAAAATCACGGGCCCCTCTATATAAAGTGTATAAAACTAAAAGCATCCAAAAACGCCGAAAACGAAACATTAATACGAATCTCCTTCTTTTAAACATAAAAATTCACTTAATCCTGAGTCACCTTTAAATTAATGAAAATTAAAAAAGCACAACATGAAATTAAGGGTTGTTTATATTTAAAGGTCACAATTTTTTGCGTTATACTTGCTTCTCTTCGATTGCCTTGTGTAATAATCAGTGATTAACTTTCTTAATGAAAATAAAGTCGGCATTATTTTCTGCGGTAATGTCCAAAATATCAACAAGTTTTTGTGGGGCGGAATTTGCAGTTTCCTATAGGGACTCCTCATTAGTCATGTGTGTTTCGGTGCAAAACTATTTGTAACGTAAGTCTTTTTATGATTGAATTTTCACGTAAAATTATTTTTTATTTAGTTAGAAATAGGGCTCAGCAACATTGTAAGCTATTTAACGTAATAGTTAACCCATAGTTAAATAGGCTCAGAAAATAAAAATTACGTATGTAGAAAAATAAAAAACGCTACAATTTTATTATTTCAAAAAAGAAGAAGAGATTTTCTGGTTAATTAGCAAAAATCTATTAGAAATATTTCAAGTTTGTGCTATTTTTATCCTTCAAAATACCATTTCTCCTTAGAGAATTACGGCCACTTAAATTGCCGCGTCCTCGAATCTAACATCGCCAAACCCAGCATTTGCTTTCTAACTCATTATATCACCTTCCAATGGTCATAATTTCTGAAGGTAAATTTGTAAAGCACCACTCGAAGGCGCAATTTGAAGGGTAAGAATAGTACTAAATGGCCACTAAAGCCGTTTTCGTGTACTTAACCGCGAAAAACCTCAATATCTGGGAAAATTACTTCCGAAACGACCTACAGCTGTGACCCAAAACGTATTGAAACAGTACGCGTTTTGGTCCATATGATCATTTTCTTTAATTTATAGGGCCAGAAGTAACCAGCACGAAACGGAATATATTTATAATATTTATAATATTTATAATAAAAGCCTATAACGAAGGAGCAATTACATTGTAGAAAATAGTAACAAGTTATGGTTTTCATATTTCGGGCCCCTTAAGAAGCCCGGGCCCGGGGGGATTCACCCCTTTTGCCCCCTCCCTATCGACGGGCTGGTTAGAAGGATATGCCTCATAGGGGGCATTCACAATGGGCAAGTTTGCCTCCGAGTGGGAGTGCGAGTCGTTTGTGTGCGCCTTCTTAACCTAACCTTATCTAAGCATTCCACTACTCCCCCCGAATTTCCCGATTTGCAGGGAGATTTTCTCGTTGCGGGGAATCGGGGAATGGCTACCTTTTGCGGAAAACTATTTAATTTTAAATTATTAAATGATATACCTAGAGCGCGGAATACTTTTGTTTAAATTTTATTTTTAGTCACAATTGCAACTCTGCCAATTTCACACTATAAAAATATTGATGCCATTGACTAAATATATATGTATACATAGTATGTATTAAATAATGCAATTCCACGAGGCAACAGTGATTTTGTTGCGGCAAATGTTAAAGCTGTTATTAAAAGACCTTTTTGTGCTGATTACGAATCCCTAAGTATACAGTTTTTTGCAATATTTTGGAAGAAAAAAAAAACAAAAGGTGATAGAACCTTCCATTTTAGCCTAAATTAAAGCTATAAATAAAATAAATAATAAATTAAATAATAAAAAAATTAGTTGGCTTCTAAAAATACCAATTATAAATTTGAAAATTTTGATGATTTTTTTAATTTACTGAATTTTTGTCAGTTTTGCCCAAAGTTTTTTACTTTGACTTAAGTGGCGTATGTTATAAAATATATACTAATACATATATATTTTGAAAGCCGTTTTTTT